GCTCAGGAGAAAGGGAGACCCAATCTCTGTTAAACTGAGATTTGTTGGTTATGAGCAGGGCTCCAAGGCATTTAGGTTTGCCTACCCTAACGGGAAATTAATGATATCAAGGTCTGCCACTTTTCACGAAGGGGCCAACTGGAGTAAGATCCATGCCAATGAGATTCTTACTCGGAACCCTTCCCGTAGTCGTCATAGGCAATCGGAGGATGTATCGGAAAACCTACCCGAGGATAGGGATACATCTGGTTCTGGGAAGCGTGCATCCCAGGCACCCTTGAAAGGGGTATTGAAGCGCAAGATGGGGGTAGCCAGGAAGGATAGGCGCCCAGCTTCTGAGACGCATAGTGATAGTCACGAGGTAGATGACTCATCGGACGACTCCGATGTAAGTGACTCCCCTAAAGGCAGACCAGTTAGGGTTACCAGGGGCAATAAGCCTAAGAGGTACGACGACTTTGTTACCTCAGTCGACCAGGTTTTGGCCACCCCTCAGAGATATGAGGATGTGTTGGCCTTACCTGACCATGAACGACAGAAGTGGCTGGCCGCCATGGATACAGAATTAGACAGCCTGAGAAGGCTCGATGTATTCATGCCAACAAGATTGCCCAAGGACAAGAGGGTGATCGGCACCAGGTGGCTTTTCAAGCAAAAGCCCATTGAAGGTGGGGGCTTTATCTATAAGGCGAGACTAGTGGCGCAGGGATTTTCGCAGAGATTCCCTGACGATTATGAGGACACCTTCTCGCCCACGGTGCGCCCTGAGAGCGTGAGAACAGCTCTCACCATCGCTACCATGCGAGGCGAACATGTATATCAGTTCGATATTCAGACCGCGTACCTGCACGCCCAGTTAGACAAAGAGCTGTACGTGAGGATTCCTCAGGGAGTAAGCCATCGGGAAGACGATGTGTGGTTGTTGAACAAGAGCCTATATGGCTTAAAACAATCTGGTAAGCGATGGTACGAGTGTCTCACAAAAAGCCTGAGAGAGATGGGCTTTTTACCATCATCGGCTGACGAGTGTGTTTTTGTCAAGGAAGATCAGGGCATTAGGGAAACAGTACTGTTGTACGTCGATGACATACTATATATTTGTGGATCAGAGAACAGGCTTAAGAAGTTCTCTGAGGACCTAAGTAAGAGTTTCGCCTTAAAACCATTAGGTCACATTAGCAAATTTTTAGGGGTGCAATTCGTAAAAACCGAGAAGGGGTTTCGGCTCTCTCAGGAAGATAAGATTCAGGAATTGCTTAAAAAGTGTAGCATGGTAGAGGCGAAGCCATGCGATACCCCTATGACAACAGACTTCCTTAAGAATATGTACACTGAGAGTACGGAGTTTGAGGATAAGACCCTTTACAAGTCCGTGATTGGGTCGTTGTTGTACATTGCAAATTGGACTAGACCGGACATCAGTCTAAGTGTAAATGTGTTATCTAAACATTCTGAACATCCCACACAGTACCATTGGAGCGGAATCAAACGACTCCTGAGATATTTAAAAGGTACTGTGAACTATTCATTGTTATTGGAACCAGAAGCAACTAGAGAATTAAGATTGAGTTGTTTTTCGGATGCCGATTGGGCAGGGGATGTTAGATCTAGAAAAAGTACCTCGGGGTACATTGTATACCTAAATAGTAGCCCCGTGTATTGGTACTCTGGGAAGCAGAAGTTAATTGCAACCTCCACAGCGGAAGCTGAGTATGTGAGTTTGTCCAAAGCTTCCAATAACCTAGTTTGGTTTGACGATCTTCTGGTAAGCTTATGGAGGCAGCCCATGCAACCTATAAAAGTTTATGAGAATAACATGGCTGCCATTAACATATCGGAAGCCGATGCTGTAGGCCAGAGATCGCGCCATATTGATATTAAAATCAAACATGTGAGGCAATTGGTGGAAACAGGTTTCATTAAGACTGTGTATTGTGAAACCAAGGAACAGGTAGCGGACGTGTTTACCAAACCGCTGCCCCGTGACCAACACCTCTATCTTCTGGGTAAAATGTCGATGGCTATGTGAATGTACTTACCATTGATGTATATATGTACCCAATGTAGAATGTATGTTTGTTAACCAGTCAAATAGCCGCAGAGAAGGGGATTGTCACGAATGTTTCCAGGATTGCTGTGGCTATCTGCCTACTCACAAACAATATGGTTTTAATCAAGCCATCTGCTGTTGGCAATTACCTGCAAGCCTTCCCCGCCCTAGTTAATTGCAGGTTGACTCCCTATATAAGCAAGGACCTTTTGCTTGCTACTTGGGCCTAGTCTGATCTAGGCCTAAATGCACAGCTCCTGCAGGAAGCTTGTTGCAACGCCGCAGATGGGAGAAGAATGCAGATAAGGACTCCAGACGCTGCTACAGAGAGACTCCCACGGATGCTTGCCTTTTGCTGTTTTGTAGCACGCAAGCTATCATCGGGACTGCTGTTGCTGGACCTTCTTCCTCCCACAAGCTTCAAGCAATGTTTGCTTTTTGAACTGTTTTTACTTCAGGTGACTTTCAGCTGTGAAGCTCGTGCTGCTCCCATTATGATTGCCTTGATGATGTATCGACGCCGAAGCTGCTTACCTTCATGCTAGCTTTATTCTTTCGTGAACTGTTTTGGTATTGTGGAGAGGGATCTAGGGAGATAGCCTTGTTTCACATACCCAGATAAGACTTTGTTTTTAATGTGTTTTCTTAAAGACATAGTGCTTTTTAAATGTTTTAAAGTAAATTATATTTTTACACAAGACGCCTCTGTCAGAATCATTTCAGTCTCAGTGTGTTTACTCATGAGCTGGTTCACGGTCCGGGGTACCCCTCAACCCCATTTCGTAACAAATCTCCTGTCCTTCAGCTGGGCCTTCATCCGAGGTTGGTCAGTTGAACAGGGAAATTCAGCATTTAGGTCTTTAGGCTCATCTTGAGAATTATTATCAGGGGTTCTGGGCGAGAATCGCAATGCCTACTGGAAAGGGGCATTCCGCAAGAGGGCAGGGCTGTAAGAAGGCAAGTGCCTGGGGCCCTTTCCCATGAAAACTTTGTTTATGGAATAATAATTCAATTTAAAAACAGGATCTAAATATTTGTTTTTAGTGAAGTGAGACTTTAATAATGTTATTTTGTAACCATTTAGTTCAAAGGCAGCTGTTTTTAAAACTTTGGTAGAGATAAAAATAAGCTTGATCTATCTCAGTGTTTTATTCAATGTAAACATTTAATTTTTTTGGTCCAGTTGTTGGCCAAGAACACTCTGGAATGAGGAATGTCGTTTTCCAGCTGTTTGTTTCTGCAGAAATAGAAAGCCTGACTCTTGGGACAGCAGTCCAAATGAATTGCCCTGAGTAAAAGCTGGCTCAGATATTTATACAGAAAGTTTATTATTTATAACCTGTCAATCTATGTGACTTTTTTCACAAGGCTTGTGTTCACACTTAGTTGGTTGCATTTGTCATTTCTGCTCCAAGATTTGTCATATTACTCACAATGGGTCCTTGTGAAACCTTCCCAATCCTATCTCTTTATCAGGACTTTCCTGCTGCCTATCTGGATTGTTTGTCAGTTTCTCAGCCAGCAAAGTGAAGCTTAGATAGTCCAGTTCATAATTTAATCGGTTGTAACATTTGGTGGCTCATTTCTACAGAGCTTGGTTAATTCCTGCCTAATACTGTTTAAAGGCATTAGTTGAACCTTTTCTTGTGAAAGGGATTCCTTTCCTAGGGAAGTTATGCTAATTGAGAAGAAAACCGCAGACAGCAGGAGTTTGTTTTCCAGAACCTAGCTTATTCAGACATTTCCTGGGTTTTTTAGAGGGTGCTTTTGTGTTGCTGTCTCCAGGATTTCAAGGGGAATCTGCCTATTTGAAGGATTTCTTTACTTTATATTCATTGTTTTATATTCTTAAGCTATTGGGCTATTACAAATATTATCACTGATTTTGAAGTCCCACAGGACTTAATTTGTCTTATAAATCAATAACCTTTCTTCAAGGAAAGTGGAGCTGATGAAATTTATATTAGTTATTACGTGGTTTTTCAAATAACAAGCCTGAAACAATGTGAAATCAATTTGTTGCAAATTGCAGGAAATATAATAGCAATCAAACAAGGTACATTTAATACTTGGTTGCAATCACCTTGCTTTTGGAGATCGGAATTTTAGCTCCTTTGATTTATTCTTGTCAGATGAGGTATCATCTGAGGCTCTCATCAATGGGGTTATTGATGTGTTTTAAGAATGCAAATGTTCTTCTTGTTGCATTCTTGGTGTTTGGAGTAAAGATATCAAGAGCTGACATGTGGAAACAATATTGTTCTGTCTACAGAATTTTGTTATTTAGTTGAGCATAACAGGTAGTGCTCAACTTAGAAACATTTTTTTAATGATTGTTCAAAGTTGTGACAGTGCTGAAAAATGTGGCTTATCACTGGTACAGACACTTATGACTGTTGCGGTGACCTCATGGTCACATAATCAAAATTTGGCTTCTTGGCAACCGGCATATATTTACAATAGTTGCAGCATCCCAGAGTACCACTTATGACCTTCCCAGGAGCTTTTCAACAAGAAAAATCAATGGTGGAAGCCAAGTTTACTTAACAAATGTGTGATTCACTTAACAACCATGGCAAAAAGATCATAAAATCAGTCACAATTAGTGATAGAAGTTCTGGTCCTAATTCTGGTCGTAGCAATAGCACATAGACTTACATACCGCTCCACAGTGCTTCACAGCCCTCTCTGAGCGGTTTACAGAGTCAGCCTCTTGCCCCCAACGATCTGGGTCCTCATTTTACCGATCTCAGAAGGACAGAAGGCTGGGTCAACTTTGAACCAGTCAGAATCGAACTCCTGGCAGTGGAATGCAGAATTAGTCTGCAATGCTGCATGCTAACCACTGTGCCACCCCGGCTCATAAGTCCCTGTAAGTCGAGGGCTGCCTGTAAACATGTTTTTAAGTCTATTGATGATAAGGTCATCCACAACTCTCCTTGTCTTTCAGGGTTCAATTTCACCAAAGTGGATCTGGAAGAGCCAAACAGAAGAGCGAGGGTCTATCACTACATTGCAGAGACCTTGAAGTTTGCCAATGGCCAAAGAGCAAAATTAGATGATCCTAATTTTTCTAAAATAAAAGAGGTGGGTCTTTCCTGGAACTGCCTTCAGATTTTTGGAATTGCATTAGGGTCAGCAGCTCAGTGCTTAGAGTCATCCTCATGCCCACTTGCATGTCTAGTAAATGTGTGTCAAAACCTGGTACTTTGCTCCTCGGATTTTTATTCTTAGATGGCAAGGACAACGTTCTTATTGGGTTTTTAAAAAAAACTTCCAGATAAGTGGAAGTTAATATCCATTTTATTCTTTACATATTTACCATTTATAGCCTATATTTCCAAACCATTCTTTGCAAGGTAGGCCTTAATTGTCCCCTAAACATTATAAAAATGAGCTGGATATTTTTCTGCAGCTTAGCTCCCTCAATTATTTTGAAGGGAGCAAATGGCCCCGAGAACTCTCCGATGCTGTTCACAGCACAGAAAAAAATGTGCCAACTGTTAGATTACATCATGAAAATCAGCACTTAAAGGCTGGTTTTCGGTCCTCACCACTGTTTGCATGTGATATGAAACGAGAGTCCTGAATTTCTAATTAATATACAAAAAACTGATTTTTGCAACAGCTCAGAGAAGTCAAATAAAGATAAAACGTTCAATTACAAGCAGAGTAAGGAAAATATAAAAGGTTTTCTGACTTCATATTGGATGAAAATGCTGGAAGGATAAAGAGGCCAGCTATTTAATTTACAGCGGCCCTGACCTGAGGCATTGGCACACTGTTGGTTAATGCAGAAAAGGGAGTCTTCCTTTTCCTGTGTGCCCCCCCTTCTGCTGGGCACAGAGCACCATAAAAGGAAACATCTTTCTCTGCGATGAGCTGTATGGCTCAGTTGCTGGGAAAGGAGGCTCTGAGCCCAGAACCTTCGGCTTCCCTTGCTCTACTGTCCATCCACGTTTGTCCAGAAACTCCACATTCTGTTCACGACCCTCCTGGCTTGTGGGCATTTTGGAAGGTGGTTTCAGGGCCACCCATGGCAGGTCTCCTTCCTGACTGGAATGCCCACCCTTTCAGGAAGTTCTCCACGAGATGATGTCAGATGCCTTTGCTGACCACATCAGGCAGTTGATTGATGGCCGGGGAGACCACCCAACCAGCCACTATGACCTGGCCCAGCTGAAAATGGCACCTTTTGGCACCTCCCACGTGGCCGTTTTGGCAGAAGACGGGAGTGCTGTGTCAGCCACCAGCACCATCAACCACCCGTAAGTGGGGGCAGCTGTGGACATGTGAGGCTGAGGGCAGCCTTGACCGTTTGGCCCTCCATGTCCAGGAGGTCTCACCTCCTTCCAGTTAGGGTCTCTGCAGAAGCGGTCTGCAGAGTGGTGGTTACTCCATTGAAAGCCACTCCCAGTTGCACCGTCCACCCACAATTCCATGTGGGAAGCTGACCCAGTCGGGCTTGTGCTTCTCACATTGGTTGCAGGCACAATCCTGCTCCTCCTTTGTTAACCGAAGGTCCCACAGGCAAAGCTGGCAAAATGTTGTTTGCCCCCTTCACTGGACTGAGTCAAGGCCTGTCTCTCCAGAGTCCCCTCCCAAGAGCTTCTGAGCTGGCAGAGCAGCCTTGCCTCCTTAAGGAGAGGCCTTCCTTCCTAGCAGACGTGCCAAGAATGCCAGTCTGAGACGGGGGCCATTGCTGAGGCTGGCAGGAAAAGGGTTCTCTGAGGACACATGATATGGAGTTTCCAAGACAGAGGAAATAGCACTAGCCACAGCCCTTAGACTTATATACCGCTTCACAGTGCCCTACAGCCCTCTCTAGGGGGTTTACAGAGTCAGCCTATTGCCCCCAACAATCTGGGTCATCATTTTACCCACCTCGGAAGGATGGAAGCCTGAGTCAACCTTGAGCTGGTGAGAATTGAACTGCCAAACTGTTGACAGTCAACAGAATTAGCCTGCAATACTGCATTTTAGCCACTGTGCCACCTCAGCTCTTAAATAGTTTAATAGAAGTAGTTTGGGGCAGGGGAAATCTATCTGAAAGGGTTGTCTTCCCCTTGTCCCTGCCTCTTTCTTGTCCGTTCAGCAGAGAGAGGCCAGGAGACCCCTCCCTATTAGTCTCTTGGGGCTGCTTTCCTCGTCATGAGGTCTAGGGCCCCGAGAGGTGGCTCTTTTATAGGCTAGCACAAACAGCATTCCCATCAGATTTCCAGAGGAGGCCTCTGGGGCCTATGATCCTGGCAGGACCTGCCCATCTCTATTCCAGGATGAGGTACTAGCTGAGCCCCTTGGAGCCCCATTCAGAGCAGCCGCCTGAGACCACATAGCCAGATTCACAGCAGCCTCTTGTTCAATGCAATGGTCCCATCCATCTTCTCCCCTCCCCTGTCTGCTTTCTCTGTGCTTAGGTTTGGCTCAATGGTCTATTCTCAGCAAACTGGAATCATCTTAAACAATGAGCTGGCCGATTTTTGCATGAAGCGGTCTAGCAAAAGCATTTCTCCAGGTAAGGACCACTCCCTACCCCCCCACCCCACAAAGAGTCACACTGAATTCATCGGCTCTTCCTCGGATGCTAGAATTGCTGAGGAAGCATGCAAGCATGGTGCTACGTAATGCATGGGTGTTGGGGTTTCCTACTTTGGGGTCCTTGGGGCTCTCTGAGCTTGGTTGATTTATTACATACATTTCATTACCTGATGATGATGTTACCTGTAGAGACCACACACACACAAAGGTTGAGGATGTATGTGGTGATTTTATTGTCTTACATAGTGACATTATATAGTTTGTTACTTTCAAGTTACAGGGTACTTGGCAGCATCTCATTGGCTACAGAATCTTCCAGGTAACTAGAGTCTTTGGTTAACCATTACTGCTTTGCTTAAGCACTTATAATGTTAGACTTTAATTAAAGTCTAATACACATATATCCCATTTCCTCTCCTGCTGTTCCTCTTATTTACAGAGTTAGGGTCTTATCTTCTAATGTAATTTCCTGGTGTTTACGTGCAAGTAACCTTCCTTATCTGAGGTTTGCCATCCAAGACAGGAAAATCCCTGCACATATGCAGATTGCAGATTCCTACATATCCCCTCTTTTTATTTAATTTTGAGGGAACAAAGATTTTTGAATATATTGCATTTGATGAGGAGGCAGAGAAAGAGGAGCAGGGAATACACTGAATGAAACAACAGCAAGCAACTAACATGACAATAATAATCACAGCATAAAAAAAACAACTGCTTAAGCCAGGTCCACCAGTCAAAAGAAAAGGAAATAGCATGAACATTATTCTGAAAATATGATTGGAGTTTAGCAAGTTCATCTTCAATGGTTTTGTTCAAAGAGTGAAAATGAACAGCACATCCACGACGGCCAACAAGTTTACAAAAATCTCCTTGTTGTGCTAACAAATAGTCAATAGCAAAACGTTGTTGGAGCACATCCTCATTCAGGTCCTCAATTTCATGTTGGAGATCACGAACAATAGCAGCAGTGGCATTAATTGATTTCTCCAGGCGACATGTTAAACCCAAGATAGAATGTCTATTTTCTTGAGCTATTATTCCAGGGTAAGCCCCTAAGGTGATCACCCCAGTAATAGCTCCAGCCACAGCACGGCCAAAGTATTGAGAGAGGACAGTTGTGTATCAATGATAACTTCATCATTACATGTAGGACCTAATGAAGCACGGCATTGTCATGAAGAAGAAGAGAGAGCACCAATCTGCACAGGTAGGGAAAAGTAGCCAATAGCAGCACACTGATAGTTCTGAGGGTGTACGTTGGTTGCATATTTGTCAAAAAAGAACCACATAGAAGCGTTAAAAATAGGAAAATTATCAGGATACATTTCAGGCACAATATTAGGTCCATACAAAGAAGAATTAAAGGTTCCCCAGAGCCAATAATAATCAGTACAATAACTATAATTCCCTACTTTTGATAAACTATGTCGAGCTTTAGGGTAATCATTCCAATTGTTAAGCCAAGTATGGCGAGCATAACAGCAAAAACATAAGCCTCTAGTATATTGATTAGTACGAAGATAACACCAACGAACAGAATTAAGTTTATGTGGAAATTGGGATCGTAGAAACACCCAGGAGCATAGAAGAGTCCAAAGGCAGATGCATGAATAAATGTGATAAATGTATTTATTCATATAACAAAACATATTAACTATATACAAAGGCTGTCTTAATATCCATTAGGATAGGGGGCACACAGCGTGTGTGACTACCCCTATCAAAGATCACGTCTCATGGAGAACAAACGTAAAAGAGAGCATGGTGGAAAGGTTAGAGGGGGTTTTATACTCAGTGTAAGCCCCTCCTCTCCACATAGGGGTGGGGGCACTTTCTGCCTCCACTAGTGTCTGTATGATATATGTGCCAATGGCTTGCAAATACTTGACAGTTCCCCTCCTTGCGAGCCAATGGCATGCAAACATACAAATGCAATGCACAACAAATTTTACCCTGTGAGACATAACTTTTTACACAAATCTTTGTGCCTATCTGCTGGTAGAGGTTTTGTGAAAATATCAGCTGTCTGATATTTGGTCTGACAATGTGATAAAGATATAAACCCCATCTCTACTAGTTGCCTAACATTTTGATAGCGGATATCGATATGTCTGGACCTTTTTCCCACCGCATAGGCTTTGGCAATGCCTATGGCCCCGGTGTTGTCTTCTATAATTTGGATGGGCAAAGTCAGTGGTGTCCAGATGCTAGAAATTAAGGCATCAAACCATATCAGATCGTTCCCTGCCTCTGATAAGCATGCATATTCGGCCTCAGCGGTGGAGCACGAAACAAATTTCTGTTGCCCCACATGCCAATGGATGGGTGCCTCATTTAATAGTACCAAGAAGCCCGAAGTACTCCTACGTGTCTTGGTATCTCCGGCCCAGTCCGCATCCGCGAAGCATTTTAATTGGGCCTTGTCTCTATTCTCAGGTTCCAAGCGAAGCACGTAATCTGCTGTGGTCTTGAGATACCTTAATAGCTTTTTAATGGCCAACCAGTGGATGGGTAGGATGTTCCACTTGTCTAGATAGCAGGTTTACGGCCAGGGCAATATCTGGACGGCTCCAGTTACTTATATATAGTAATGAGCCGATCACTGACCTAAATAGAGTATTATTTTGGAACTCTGGGCTATGCTTGTGTGCCAATCCATAATAGTAGGTCTGCATTGGGATAGCCGTTGGCTTGCTATCTTCCATTTTACATTTCACCAAGAGTTCCTCTATCTTTTCCTTTTGGGAGAGAGCAAAACCTTTTGGTGTGGTGATGATTTGTACGCCTAGGTATTTGTTCACATATCCTAAAGACTTTAGAGTGAACTTTTTTTGTAGGGTCCTGGCAAATATAATACTTCCCCCCTTGTCAGGCCCTATATATAAAAGGTCATCGACATACACTAGGACTTTCTCCAGCCCCCCTTTGGTATCCCTTGTGAAGGTACATTTATCAGCTGGAGATGGATGGAAACCCAGTGATTTGAGAGTTTTAGTCAGGCATTTGTACCACAGTCTGCCTGATTGTTTGAGGCGGTACAAACTTTTCTTCAGAAGCCAGGTGTGGCCTTCCTGCCGTTGAAATCCAGGGGCACCTCTGACGCAAATTTCTTGTTTTAGATGTGCGTGTAAATAAGCAGTTTGCACATCAAATTGAAAAATGTGTTCCCCATGTGCTGCTGCGGTGACCAAAGCAGCCCTCACACTTTCCGCTCTCACGGTGGGGGAGTATGTTTCATCAAAGTCCTGCAAGTAGCGCTGTGCGTAGCCTTGTGCTACCAGCCGGGCCTTATAGAGGAGTTTCTTGTTGGGCATTGGCTTGACCTTGTAGACCCAACGGGTGCCAATTGCTTTCCTCTTTTTGGGGACTTCCATGGGGATGAAGACTTTCAATTTTTTGAGACTGTCCATTTCCCGCTCCATTGCCACCCTCCACCTGCGCTGTTCTTCCTCGGGAAGCTGGAGGACATCTGAGTACGTTTTAGGGGCCATGGTAATGCTGTTGACCGATGCAACACAGCCAATGTCCAACCTTTTGGGTGGCACCCCTTTATTGGAGCGTTTTGACCGTCTGGGAAATTGCCACTCACCATCATCATTGTCATCTGGAGCATCAGTGTCAGAATTGGAGCTGCCGGAGGTATCTTTCCAATCAAAATGGGGCGGGCCTCTGTCCCAGGCGCTGCGAAGATATGGTCGTTTAGGTGAGGCAGGAGGTGTGAAGTCACCCAGGGATTCCTTGTCTGAATCGTCAGAGTCAGGTAGGGATTCATCACCATCTGGATCTTCGCTGGTCAGTTGCTTGGAGTTTGTTGGTTCATCCTCTTCAGGTGGTGCTGCTTGTTCAGTGTCGCTTCTAATAGGGGAATAACCGGGTTCATTGGAATGAATTTTTGACCAATTTGACCCCTCCTCAAAGGAAGCTGATCTAGAGACAATGACAAGGTTGTTTTTGTCTACAAACCTAGAGGCCTTGCTGCCGGTTGCATAACCTATAAATCTGAGCCTCCTTGATGCCTTGCCCCCCTTTCTTCTGAGGTGCTTGGGAATATGGACCCAGGCATAGGAACCAAAAATTCTCAGGTGTGAGAGGCTAGGTTTCCTGGACCAGGAAGTATGGGGTTTGGTTAATGGCACTACTCCACGTCCTGTTGACTAGATAATTAGCCATTTTGACCGCTTCTGCCCAAAAAACTTGGCTTATGTCAGCATCTGCAAGTAGGCAGTTCATGACATTCTGCAGCACGCCATTTCTCCTTTCTGAAATACCATTCTCGGACGGAGTTCGAGGGGATGATTTAAAATGGAGGATACCTCTCTCCTTCATCCACTTTTCAAAAATCTTGGATGTAAACTCAGTCCCCCTATCACTCTGCACCTGAGCGATGCACACCTTGTGTTGCGTTTGGATCTGGTTGTAAAGATATTTGAAGTTGGTAAAGACTTCAGTTTTGTCCTTTAAAATAAATACATGGCCATAACGAGAGTAATCGTCTACTACTGTTAAAAAATAACGCCCCCTACCAAGGGAGGGTCTAAAAGGACCAACCAAATCCATGTGTACCAGCTGATAAGGGTACCTTGCACGACGGGAAGAGACCTTAGGTATAGCAGCAGTTTTAGATTTTGCTGCCTTACAGATGGCACATTCCAAATAGGTATTACAATTCTTTATCTTAAGCCCATTAGAAAAATCTTGCATTTTCTTAATAACCGGGAAGCTGGCATGGCCGAGCCTGCAGTGTAATATATGAGCACAATCCAAATGTAAAGGTTTACCCATGCATACTTTGTCAACCTTATGTATCTTACCATTACAAGCCTTGGTCTGTTCAGTAATGCGAGTAGGCACTGGATTAATGGTCACCTTAGAGTTCCTCAGGGTTGGCTGAGGAGTTGTGACCTTAATGGGCTCAGCCTTAATGGCTTTGGATGTCCTAGGAGCTGGTTTAAAAGCTTCATTGGTTTTAGGTCC